GTTATTTATATAATCTTATAAAATTATTCCACATCGATTAGGCTATCAGCATCACATAAAGGAGCTACCATGACACTAAAAACAACAACATTATTGATACGTGTAAAAAAATAGTCAGATCTATAATGAAAGACGATTAGTTGACTAAACACAGGTAAAAACCCAACCAAATATCAGAGAATAGATACCCATCCTACCTGCCACAACCTGACCGACTATAGCCTACGAGCAGTTATCTAAACCATCTGTTCAACACCCCCTGTGGCTCTCCCCGGCCTCCTGACACCTACACCCTTCACCTAAGAACCTAATTCCCTCTTTGTCTCCCGCAGCGTCCTGTCACTCTCACCCTGTCACCTCCACCTTAACCTAATACTCTAACTCTCCCCTTCCACGTGTCTCCCACAGCGTCCTGGTGGTGCCATCGGTGTCAGACGAGCACGCAGGTAACTACACCTGCAGCCCCGCCAACGCCAGCCCTTCCTCCGTCCTCGTTCATGTCGCTGTTGGTGAGTCTCTCTCTCTCTCTCTCTCTCTCTCTTTCCTCGTTTTACTGATGCTCTCACAATTAATTCAGCTGCCATCATAATTCATAAAAAAATAAGTGATATGCAAATTGTAAGAAAAACTACGTGTTCGGAATCATAACAGTAGGCTATATTTGTCATGTTTTCCTATAATATACTGCATGTTTATTTTGTAACTGTGCTATTCATTAGTGGCTCCGTAAAAAATGAGTCACGAAACACAATAAAGTTACTGAGGGAAGGATTATAAAAAGACAGAGCAGATAGATATGGTGAGGAATATGAAAAATTGGGTAACAAATTACAAAATATTTTGTTATAATTAAATTTATTTGTATTTCCCACCACTTTCATCATCTCATATGCCACTACTTCTTATATTTCCCTGATAATTTTCAGTGTCTTAAGCTTATTATCCTTCCATTATCTCGAGATAAAAAATACTAATACTAATAATAAATAAATCAGTAAATTGATAAATATAAACAGTCCCAACCACGCTCGTTCCTCTGTATCAAGGAAGCATCACTCGACGTTCCCCACCACACCGAGTCTCTTTCACCCGCAAAAAACATCTCCCACACATAAAATCTCATCCTCTCCCACAGATTCTCACTACCTCCCCTCTTTCTTTTTATTCACCCATGTTCACGAGAGGCAGTAGAGATTGAGCCCTCCCCTGAATTAGCCTTGATGCCGCCGCGTAATCTCTTATCTTATCATCAAAGTCACCCTCCCTCCCAGCTCCTTTCCCCAAGGATGACTGTCACACCTTCTATCACTCCTAATTTACGCCCCCCCCACTTTCACCGGGAATAAATACTACGTATAATTCTCGGCAATATTTTTTTCTCAAAATATCCTTCAAAGCATCTTTCTCCTTTAATCCCTTGGAATATCTCAGAAACAGTCCTCTAGAGTTTACCCCAAACATCGTTCATTCCTAATTCTTTTCTTTAATCTGCCCCAAACAGGTTCCTCCCCTCATCCCATGTTTATGTGCCTAAAGATGGTCTTTAAGTACTCGTACCCCCTCCAGGATCCCTCTTCTCACGCTCTTGCTTATCTTTCTTTACAGAGACGACGGAATCTGGGGCCCCGAGCCGCCGTGGCCAGAAGGAAGTGGAGGAGGCGGACAAGACGCCGGTGCGGCAGCTAGGGGTGAAGAGTGCCTCCTCGGCCGGCCCTCGCGTCCTACCTCAGACCCTGGCACTCTTCCTGCTGGCACTGCTCCTCCTTGACGCCCTCACATTCCCAAGGGTCTTCCAGCGTAGCTTGTAGAGCGCCAGCAAGCAGCCTCGCCCGCCTCTCTCGCCGAGGTTTTTTCGAAGTGCCGATGTGATAAGCCTTGGTGTGTGCATCCTGGCAACAGTGTAGTGTGCTTAGCGCCACATAGTCCGTATACTTTCATATACTATGAAGAAAGACACAGTTGTACATAAAAATGAAGTTTATATAAAGCAAAACTACTCAAGGAAAATATACACTATTTATATACGAACAGTGAGTGGAGTGTGCGAAAATGTGCATTGCCAGTACGACGTCACGGATAAAACTTGTCAGTGTGGAGGGCGCGAGCTGACTCAGAGAATATTGTACTCTGGAACACGGAACTAAATGAAACACCGACCTTGGGTTGGCTCCCCCCGCTCCCCTCACACACACATTAGGAGCACAGTGAACCAAAGACAATTAAGAAGCTCTACCTTTTTGATGTTCACTTGATCTTTAGTCAATGGCTTGTTCTTCATGAGCATTTAGGTTCTTCCGAGTTTGCTGCAGCGACTCTTGCTGGCAGAGGTACGGTAATACTCGTTCACAAGGGTACGATTCTTCTCGTGATACCGGCCACGATAATGTCCGTGAACATGGGATATACAGTGTCGATGTTTTCCTGTGTTGCTCGTCATAATGAACGTGATATTAGTGTGGAATGTACATTTAAAGATGTATTTATGGGAAATCTGTTGTATTCTACAATGTATAATACCTTTTTACACAAAAAAAGGAGTTCCTATTGTATTAAAAGAATGTGAAATACTGGAAAGAGCTGGGATTCATAGTCTTAAGTACAAGGATTTTTAAAAAGATCCAGCCTCTACCAGAGACAGTGATTCACATAACACTGACGTATCTTCGAGGTGTGTTGTCGTACATATACAGTAACTTCTTTGTGGAGAGGAAGACACTACATGGTGGCAGAGATGTGAGCGAGGCCCAGATAAGTGAATCAGAAAGATGATATTGACGTTCTGTACAAAGGCAAGCTGTGTTGTGACTAATGGAACTGTTTTGGTGTCGATATGATTGTGGCCTGAAGAACACTATCACGATTATAGATGGAAACAGACCTTGGATTTAGTTGCCTGATTGTAGTGCGTGTCTCCAGACTGTGTGTTTATATTTCAAAGTTTAAAAAAAATAAATAAAAGGATTATATTGAAACGGAGTTAATTATATAAACGTTTGGTTAAATCAAACGCGAGAATTATATTTGTTATGAAAATAGTTTGCCCCCACACCCACTCCACCCCCCCCCACCCAACATACATCACCACGAGTGACTGTTAAGATCCAGCATAACGCAGAGTGAGTGTGTCGGGCATTGATGTCTACGTAATGCTCCTGCTGACGTCAACCATCTGCCTGTTGCCCTTAACCATCTGACTGTTGCCGTCAACCATCTACCTGCTGCCGTCAACCATTTGCCTGTTGCTGTCAACCATCTTCCTGCTCCCGTCAACCATCTGCACCCTCTACCTCTCTCTCCTCTGGCCATCTTGTTGAAGTGTTCCAAATTAGAAAAATATATTCCTTGCTTAAACCCTCTGACTTGAGATAATACAGTATGTCTGTTTTTTATTTACTACGGTGTAACAGATAAAAAACAAAATTAGTCTTTAGAGAAGTCACGAACAATCCCTCACAGGGCAGTTCGGTGTTTGTGTTGAGGAGAAAAATTCATATTTAGGAGCAGATAATCCGCTGTAAGAGGGTTAAGCAGCCTGATGAGAGAGTGTTTATCTGCCCTGGTGGATTGAATATAAAACCCCTAATGGGTGTATATTCTGTCTGAACGACTCAAGTACCACTTCAAGGATGATTATACTAATCTGGAGGAAACATCATTCTTCAAAAGGTCAGTTATTAAAGAGTGGAGGACTGAATATACCTCGTGCTATTCACTTCAACTTTACGAGGTAGTTTGTTTTGCCTGAGGTCCTCGCCAATTACTCAAGAATTTATATTTTACACCCTTATGAAAGACCTGTTGGGTGCTATAACAAGCACTTTTTCCATCAAATAATAAACTGTTTTGAGTACGGAGGCGATGATTCTGTCTATATCTGTCAGTGTTTCTCCAGTTACCAGTCTATTGTAAGCCTTCAACTCTTAAGAAACAACTACAAGATGGTGAGAGCTGACTTGGTTGTAAGGTTTAGTTGTCATAGTTTTAGTAAGAGGAGTAAATACTTGATGAGGAGCGTCTCAGTTTAGACAAGAAATTAAACGCTTCAGAGATTTTTTCTGGGTAAATGAACGAATGAAGCACTTAAGGGATACTTGACAAGGCCCTGAATACAAGACCAATAACCAAGACACTGCTGCTCGGGTCCAGGGAACTAAACACATATATAAAGAACACTTACCTGGAGTAATAGGACTGGAGGAGCCTTGCAGGGTTGACTCTTTATAATTAAAAAAAAATGGAAATCTAGTTAAACAATAAGGATATAATTCTCCTACTGTGAAGAATATTAAGATGCACCGAATTCTGAGATCAATACAGCTGTGAAAATCAGTTGCTTACGTAAAATTGCTAAGCTGTAATATATTCTGTAATAACATAAGAAGTTAACAATCTGTTATCAACAAAACTACTTACTATAATGAAGTAAACAACAATGAGCATCAAAATAACATTATTCCTTTATCCTCTACTTGACATGATAATCGGACGTGTTAGCATTATAATTCGCACGAACTTTCAGTTGGACGATCTCGGCAACTGAGATTCCACATTAACTAAAAGCGTGATTGTCCATACACCGTCATTCATTAAGCTCTGTTTGTGTTTCGTTAGCGTTATCCGTCAATTTAACCCCGGGTGGTGGGTGATGGCCAGTAGCAGGCAGGCAGGCAAGCAGGCACGCAGGCAAACAGGCAGGCAGCAAGCAGTGGATGGCGGTGCAGACGTGGGGGACACAGTCATCTGAGTCTTCTCCCACTCTCTCTCTCATCAACCATTTTCATGATCCAATCTCCCATGTTTACTGACGCGGTATTTGATGACTAGAGAAATAAAATAAAATAAATAAAAAATTAAATAAAAAACAAAAAAGAAAACTCTTTCTAGATGTTCCAATTTATTTTTATGTTCAAAGTGTTATGATAGCATCAAATGTTATATTAGGATGTCCTTGTCCCTGTTTTGTATGATAATATATTGGAAAATAAAACGTCAAGTGCTCACAATGTGTTTCACTGAGGCTGGAGGGAAGTGACTATCTGCATCCCCCATACTAACCCAGAAGTGTCGTTTGAGATGGTATCAACGTCTTGTGGATGATTCCTTGATTGGATGATGGTTTTATACTTTAATATAATGATTCGGTGCTTTAGGATGATGGCTAAATACTTAAGGATGATAATTTATTTATATTAGGAATGTGGTTTAACCTTTTAATAATGAAGGTTTAATATCACGGTGGTTTAATTCTTTTAGAAGGATAATTTAATTACCGCTTTAGGGTTAATCATGGTATGGTGTCCTGGGATTACCTACCTACCTTTATCATCATAATGGCTGTTCATTTACTTACTTTAATACTTTGGTTTAACTCTTTAACCCCCAATGGTTTTTACATCATTATGGTTTATCACTTTTAGGATGATAGTGCAGTTAACTTAAGACATTGGTTTAATCATTTGGGAAAGTAAATAAACATACATTTATAATTACTGTTTAGGATTTTTGAGGACGATAACTTAAACCATTGTCCTAATACATAGTTTATGCAGTATGTGCGAAATTGGTTATTTTGTAAAAAGACCGGCCAATTTTCAAATAGGCCAAAAATCCGTTCGTTTTGTAAAATGACTTTAAATATTCGGCTATTTTGCAAACAGACAAGAATATTGGCCAATTTACAAAATGACTGCTAAACTTACTGGTTAATTTGAAAAAAGACCAGACAATATACACACAATGTGTATTTATTTCCAATGACAAAAAACAAATTAAAGGAATACAGTCGTTTATTGAAGGATGAAAAGTTTGAGGGGAAGTCTCTTCAATACATAAACAATAAACAATACCAGCTCTTATTGCTCGGACTAGTTGGTGGAGCTGCACTTACATCTGCTGATGCACCTGGTCTTATTTTTGTAACACAGCGGCTGCTTTCAAAAGACTTAGAGCACTTACACTTGATGAAGCCCTGTCCGTGCCCCATGGAGTCTGCAATGGCAACTTCCTCCAGACTTACCTCTTTCCCTTCTGGTACATCTGGAATGGAGTGGAACTTCTCCACACATGCATGGGGTGAACTGATTCCGAGTTTTAAAGTTGTTTCAAAATTCCATGTTCACTCAAGCGATTTATAATACGTTCATATTCGTCTCTCGGCAACAAACTTGATGCTTCAATGAACTTCAAATAAAACTTCTCTTTTGTTTCACGCACAGGCTGTCCACTAAACATTTACGCTGTTAGTCATGGCGGGAGGGCGGGAAGAACCATCTTCGTCAGCTCATGCACGTCTGCCTACCCTGGTGTCACAGGGGTCACCTCGCTACTGCCTCGGGATTGGCTGATCCAGAGTGGCATGAGGTCACATCATGACCTGTGATTAAAATGCTGAATAAGATGGTTCAGTATCCGGTCAGCGTATAAACGGGGTGTTTGGCCTGTTTGCAAAATTATTATACAAGGAATTTGTGTAACCAATGATTTCATGAAATCCCTTAAACTTTAAGTGTTATATGTAATTACTGTTAGGTTAGGTTAAGTAATTACATATAATTTACTAAAAGTTTTAGGGAGTTCATGAAATCATTGGTTTCACAAATTTCCTGTAATATACATATATTTACTAAAAAGTATTAAGATATTTTTTTCGCAACTGTACTGTAGACACAAGGATGTGAGAACTGAGTGAGGTAAAGACCAGAACGTCAGCAGACCGCTCACATCACTCTAGTTAATAGTCACTAACTCCCAACTAGCACGCACACAGACACACCACAACAACAGATGTTTCATATTGCCGTATAACACAGTAACTGAGACATCCACTTGACACTTAGCTTACATGACAGAATATAACGCCAAAGCAGAAAACGAAAACACAATGACAAATCTTTTCCCCGAGAAAAAGGTGAATTGAAAGAAATGTGTCCATTGTCACAGGCAGGAAGCGAAGTAATTAAGAACGGAGAGTGGCTCTGGTGATTCAATTATCGCCAGAGAAAAAGGTAAGAGTGATATTTACCGAGCCAAGATGCAATTACAGCCGCAATGACGTCGAGGGCAAGAGAAGCGGTGGCTCTGGAGCTGTTAGTACTGCTCCCAGCAGCACACCCGGAGTAGGTGACGTGTGGGGATACCTACTATCAGCATCATACCTATACCAGATAATGCGGAGGGGGAGGGAGGGGCCTTAATCGTAGCTAGATAGTTGTAAATGACAACCTTTTCAGGTGTTAGAATTTGATGACAGATTTAACGAGTTCATTTCCTAAACTGACGGCTAGCTGTTAAGTTGAATTATTACCCACATAAATATTAACATATCTGTTAAAACTGAATATTTAACTGAATAATTAATTTAACAAAAAGGTGTAATAAATTTCCTCATATAGTTTATGTTCAATTAGAATTTTTCTTTAAATAATAAAGTCTTATAAGTGTTGCTAATTTAGCCTTCTTAAGTCAAATAATCCCTTGTGCAGTTTCACTAAACATTTGGCAAGATTATAGGATATTTCCGGAAGGTCTGTCAACCCTGAATTAACAGAATTGTCCCACGTCAGAACCATACGCAACCCAGTCTTGCCTGAACACATCCTCATTAGGGGCCACGGCTAGGTTGGACCAACTCCTACAGTAGCTGGCAGAAGAGGCTGGTGGTATAGTACAGTACATACTCCAGGATAACCTGTACCAATACAGTTTCTCTAGGAATTATAATTTGATCGAATAAATAATTGTCAAGAATAAAGTTGGTGAAGATGACAAAAGTAAGGGAACAACGCCATCTTGGAAAGTCTTCCAGCTTCAATGGCTGAGCGGCTATGTTACCTGCTACTTAGTGTCGACGAATGCAGTTCTTACGGGCATTGGTCTCTTTTCTATGGTGTCCAATAACTGAGCATTAGAGTACACACACACACACACATACACGTGCGTATAAATGTGTGAGATACCAAATATTAATGTGAAAATAAAGTAGTAAGCTACTTAGAGCCGATTAATACATTCTGTATAAGGGCAGATTCACGGGAAAAGGTGAAAAATGTATTCAGTAAGGCACCGAAAATAACGTGGTGGATCAGCAGAGGGAAGACTTCAATATGTCACTGGAAAAAATATAGTGAACGCCAGTCAACTCTTGCACACCACTCTGGACCTGCTGGATGCTGATTGCATCATGATATATTTTCTCTCTTCATGATATTATGGTAAATTTTAAAGATAGACTCGACATACTTCCAAAAATATTTACCTATAAAAGTAAAAATTATACGTTATACAGGCCTGTAGTGTTAACAGTGAATGACTTGTGTTAATAAATATTCTAACTGGTACACAAGTGCAGGTCCCAGCCAATGATGGTTGAAGTTTAAATATCCCTGAGTTATCTACGGCAATGAGGAAGAGGGAGGAGTGACTGTAGGCGACATAATTGTTTCCATGTTGTTTTAAATAGAAATAATCTTACAGAATGAGCCCACCCCCACAAAAAATGGACTACGGAAGAAATTAAAAAGAAATGTTATATAACATACAATACTGACCTCAAGAACAGTATAAAACAAAGGTTGGCCATAAGTTAGAGGCAAGTATCCCCACCGGGCTACAGTAGGGGGACATACAGTGCAATTTTGACTATATTTATCCTTATCAAACTTGATTTTGGTATACCTCAAGGTGGGATATTCCTGCTACGTAGACACCTTAGCCCTCTTGGTCCTTCATACAGAGCTCCGTGTTACGACCCTACGGATTCTCTCAGTTCATTCTCTTTACCCTTTCACTTTTCACCAGCCAGGTTAATATCCTGAACAGCAAAAAACAAAAATAAATAATTATGTTTAATCAAAAGTAATAATAAACAAAAGAAACACACACACACACTATAATGGTTGCCCCTCGGGATCGAAGATGGCCGGCTCAAGGGCCACCTAGGCGTGAATTTGTTTAAGGTGTAAAAGCTGTCGCCATCACAACAATCACCCCCTAAGTTAACGAGTTGCATGACCCAGTGTCAAGGAATCGTCCGAGAAGATCGGACAACTCCACTGGTTAACCATTACCCCGGAACACGTTCCGCAAATCGATTAACATCAAGGTTCCCAATTACTGTTGGGTAGACAGAGGCAAATGGCGTAAAGAAACTTGCCCATAGTTTCACCCTGCCCGGGGATCGACGCTTGCGAAGCAACCATGCTGACCATTACACCACAGATCGCCATTATCCTATACTATACTATACTATATCACACACACACACACACACACACATATATATATATATATATATATATATATATATATATATATATATATATATATATATATATATATATATATATATATATATATATATATATATATATATATATATATATATATATATATATATATATGTAAATCTACAATGAAAACGTGGATAAGATAGTCTTGATAATACGGGGTAATAATGGAGTATTTTAGTTTCGTCTTTATTCAAGACGTCTTGAATAAAGACGAAAGCTAAGGTACTCCGTTGTTCCGTGTGATTTTATCAAGATATATATATATATATATATATATATATATATATATATATATATATATATATATATATATATATATATATATATATATATATATATATATATATATATATATATATATATATATATATATATATATATATATATATATATATATATATATATATATATATATATACACACACAGTATATGAATTTTCAGGAACATTAAAGATGCTACTTTACATTACACAATTCTGTATAAGCAACTGAATACTCTCGACCTGTCTCGAAGCTCCATGCGCTCTTATCTAGACTACTGACACGAATCAATACATTAAGGAAATACCGATACTCATAACATCAGAAAGACTAATAATGAAACAAATTGTCGGACAGTGACGACTGCTTTATCGTTCCCTCAGACGATGAAAATTCCCGAGTCATGAGGAGCACTGAGTTACTTCCTAGAGTAATAGAAAGTAAGAGAAGAA